ATAATAGCTACAGACGGGTTTAAGGGAGCATTTCGTGGATTGGGTATGACAGCGCTGAGGGATGTACCAGGTATGTACATAAATTTTCTATTCACAAATATAAAAAAATACATTTTCACCACAATTTCTTCACAGGTTTCTCCGCATACTTCGTCAGCTATGAGTGGTTAATGTCGTTGAGAGAAAAGCCAAACGTGGCGCATGCTCTTATTGCCGGCGGCTTGGCCGGAATTGCCTCCTGGCTCGTGTGCTACCCCATAGATGTGATCAAAACTTTATTGCAGGCAGACGGAATGCATTCAGCGCCAGTGTATAAGGGGGCCTGGAACTGCGCGGTAAAGAATTATCAAAAGGATGGTTTACGCTTCTTTTTCCGCGGATTCACATCGACCATAATAAGAGCATTCCCAGCGAACGCAGCCTGCTTCTATGTGGTTGCGTGGATTTTGGGTTTGGCAAAGCATACCAGCTTGAATGTGGAATTACAAACAGCAGATCCATTGGCCATCGCAAGTGTGCATATAGCTGTGGATATGCCACTCTCCTATCTGCATAAGTACGAAAGAGAGCGGCAGGAAGTACGCGAGAAACGTTCGACTATGGTGAGAATATTGCAGACATTGGGTGCATTCAATGAAGCTGTTTGTCAATCTGATATTGAAGAGCTGGCATCCGAATTCTATCCCGAAAATGATAATGATTTTAAATATTATGTGTTCGAGGATGAACGTTTGACAGTGAAAGAACATTTTGATGATAAGGATTAATGTTATATGGTTCGTAATACTTAGCTGACTAAATGTATGTATGTACGAGTGATATGTATGGATGTATGTTTAAAGAACACACTTGGACATACATAACTGTGCATATACAAATACTTAGTGCTAAAGCATAAAATCGTCGTCTGTAGGTAGGAACTATGTAAATTAATAAATTTGTTTTAAAATAATATTTTAAGTTTTTATAAAAGAAGGCATTTATGTATATACTTTGGAAGATTTTAGTGAAAAAAGGGGAAATAAATAAAATAAAATAAATTATTTTAAACTCCAAATCAATACCTTAATAACTTAAACTTTCATTTCGAAAATAATTGTAAAACAAATTTTTTTTTTTCGAGTCTTCCTCGATAACGAATGGGAAAATGGATAGTATTCGATTCGAGAACTGGGCTAGGCCATTCTCCAGCAAAACTGAACCTTCGGTATCCAATGCATTTTCCCTTCGTTGTGAATTCGAAATCCAGCCCATTATCGAATTAAAATTTTAATGAGAGAGATGGTCATATAATGCTCTTTGAGGATGAACTGGATTTCATGTTCTCTCTTTTTTTCCAAGCCATCTCGGATGTATTTCCAATATACGTTGGAAAAGTAAAGGTCTAATTATGCATATTTCGCATAACTTCGCACAGCTAATTGTATCAGTGCAATAAAAATGTAACTTAAGAAAATGTGAAGCGAAATGTAAACTCACAAGATCGCTAAGTTTTTAAAAGTTCTGCTAATTTCTGGCTAATGGAATACATACAAAGTACATAGGAAATTACAGTTTGAAGTTTATGCCAGGGACGTGAACCGGATGAAAAATTTGGTCGGTTCGGTTCAGCGGTTCGAACCGTTTTTGCACTTTTGGATTGGTTCGTCAAATACTTTTTTACATATCTTCTGTAAATATAGGCTGATTTCCCCCATTGGGGTCCTTTATACTCCGACTTTTGTCCAACATAAGGCCTCATACTCAGCAAACGAAAAGACTCCGAACCGGTGACTAGGAGGGCATTCATACGATCAACCCTTTTTTTCTCTTTTCTTTTATACAAAGTCTAAGAAAAAGTACACCTATAAAAGACGTGAGTGCCGCATGAACTTATCTCCCAAAGCTGGCAAATGCAAATAAGGATTAAAATTTTAAAACTAATTAATAAAATTAATGTAAAGTATTTACAAAGTTAACAAAAAAATACTCTTTTTCGCAACATCTATAAAGGACCCTTTTATTTTTCAAAAAATCTGTGCGACAGTTATTATCTTACGCCCTGTACTTTGCCATTCATATTGTGGCAAACACTACTTAGTAAGCAAAGTTAAGTGTGATAGTGAAAAGGTGTAAGCATGGACGTAGCAAAGTAGGTGCAGAGCGCTCGGGTATGAAATTCAGAAAAATATTAAATTAATTATAAGGCTTAAATTAAAAAACTGGCCATATATTCAGAAAGAGTTTGGAATTCTTTTGTAGAATTTAGTTGGGGAAAATTTCCTATAAGGGCGGTCATGGAAGAGGCGGTGAGCGAAGGGGGAGTGGGCGTGGCACCCCCGACCACATAGGCCCCCTATGGGTCCCTAGGGATGCCTTAGAAAAATCGCCAAATATCACAATTGGGTGCCACGTCCACTCCCCCTTTGATCACCATCTCTTTAACGACCGCCCTTATTGGAAAGCCAGCTCATTTAGTTATTTATTTTTAACATTTATTGTTGCTTTGAAAAAGATTTTTAAAAAATCTTTGTTTATTTGTACCTAATTAATGGTAATTTGTAACAATAAATTGCATAAAAAAATAAAAAAAAAAATAATTGTACTCCTTTTTTAGGTCCTGTGCTGCTTTTTTTTCTATCGAAAATATAAATGTATTGATTGCGCCGATCAGAGAGGATTTTTGAGAATAACTTTTGTGTGACGTCACACTGGTGCAATTCCGAGCGAGAAATGCCAAAACGTGAGCAAGAATGGAAGAAGAAGAAAAAAATGTTGCGAGGAAAACGTAAACAAGTTGCACAAGTGTGACGTCATGCAAACAACGATTCTGTCAAACTCGTTAAGAGAGGAATAGCGGTCCGAGATCGGCGCAACCTTTGTATTCTCTCAATCGTGATTTAATTCCGATGCGTTCTTATTAGCGGAGCTCTCGTATCTACCAGAAAAGCACACTGTGTATTGTTTTTACAATAAAAAACAAAAATGATAGAATACAAGATTGCGCCCATCAGAGAGAATTTTTGAGACGTCGCATTGGTGCAGAAGAAGAAATTTTGCAAGAAAAACGTAAACAAGTGGCACAAGTATGACGTCATACAAACAGCGATTCTGTCACATTCACTGAGAGCGGATGCCACCTTTGTTCTCTATATCATATACAAAAACATTACATGGTATTTCTAAAGTAACACGTTTCGGTTTCTGTGTACATCGAAAAGCAAGCACATTTTGCAGAGTAATTTTATATATATGTATTTTTTGTATTATTGAATAAATCTCATCGCGAGAAAAACAATCGTCAACATGCTTCCTTCATCCGGCATCGATCCCAGACTCAAACTCAAGACCCAATCACAAGATGAACTTGCGAATCAAGAACTTTTTGTTGACTATCTGAAGTCTCACTAAAGCACTCTGTACACGCATTGAATTTTCCATTAATTAAGTGTTAAAACTCCAGAAAAAAGTGTTCCTTATCAAATGCATCTATCGCCCGCGAGACCATTATACTGCCTAAGTATACTCAAATGTCGCCATACCGTTCACTTCGTAAAAGACAATACCAGCCTTAGGCCCTTTACAAAAATTTCCATTAAAAACTGTTTACGTATGGAAACCGAGCCGATCTAATGTGCATCAACAGCCGGCATGGAAACGAAACTTTCACACTCTGTAATGTTTACAAACACTCTGCTCAAAATATCCAAAGCAACACGTTTCACGTTTTTACACGGATGAATCCAAGCTAAAGAACAGGGTTGGCTACGGAGTTTTTTCTGTAGAATTAGGACTGGAAATATTCAACCGAATCCCGGGGCGCTGCAGCGTTTATCAGGCAGATCTAGCAAAAGAACAGGTGGCTGTGTACCTTAATACACATGCCGTAACGAAGACTACGATTAATATCTTCTCGGACAGCCATCAAATCAATGATATTAGCACGGTCTTCAAGGTCAACTTCACGTGGACAGCAGGACATAGAAATATTGATGAAAATTTCCAAGCCGATGAGCTAACCTCTTCTACTGCATGAAAACAGGAGTAAGATTGGTAACATTGATAACAAATTGATAAGAAAAAACGGAGGAACTGCTCAGCCATTCAAGAGAGGATATTTTGATGGTTATGGCTTATGTAATCGATTATTAACTATTTGGTAGCCACGCTTCGAGACTAGGAGCATTCTCCCATGAATATTTCAGAAGTTGCACAGGTAAGGAAGAAGAAGAAATATTTGAGCACTTCTTCTGTAGCTGTCGCAGAGAGCTTTCTGGGTAACTCTCTTATGGGAGGAATAAAACCACTCCTACACTTCATAAGAGCTAAAAAATGAAAAAAGTCGTTGATTGCCATACGGTGTAGTTGTTGATAGGGGAATCGTTCATGTACATATTTGTCAATGAGAGCCAATTTAATAATACGACTGCTGGTGTCTTCGTCATACCAGTTGTTCCTACGTGGAAAGTAGGAGAAGGAGCCAACCACCTCTTCCGCTGACACAACTACTACATACTTCTACTAACTACTACTTCTAATTATTAACTAATTATACTGGACTGTTATTCTAAGAGTAAACTTTCAAGCTTCATTGGGCCTCATACATAAAATAATGAGCTTAACAGCCTTATTATATATATCGAATGATAGGCGGCTCTGATTTCAAATTTATTACTCTATCGGTTGTCTTCGTCTTGCTTTACGTCGATTATGATTAGTAGGTCGTCTCGATTACGTTTAAACCGGCTGGAATGAAGCCGCCGGACTAATTGTTCCAGCACTCATCTGAGTGTAAGCTCGGACTCGAATTTCAGTACAAATGAGCTTGACCTCACTCCATCAGTGCAAAAAAATTTAGTATGAGCTTGAACTCACTTTTTATGCATGAGTCCTATTACATCTTCAATCAAGTTCTAAAAATTTCGTCTAACGCCCATGTAATTTCTACATTGTGCCGTTTTGCAAACGAGTGCGTTGGATGTTGCATTTTTTTATGATTCCTTCGTCTAACTACACCACCACCATCACAGCTCCTTGTAAAAATTTGTTTCAGCTTCCATTAAAAACTTTTCGTATGGAAACCGAACCGGTCTAATGTGCGTACATACATCTGTATGTTTTTATCATGGTTTGTATGTATGTACATGTCAACAAATAATACTCATTCAAAATTTGTTTGAGAAAAAAATCCAATAGCTGACATAGCAACGAGAATTTCACACTCTGTAATGTTTACAAGGGAATAACACTTAGCTCAAAATATCCAAAGCAACACGTTTCAATTTCAGTCGACCCCGAAAATCAAAAAACCAAAAAGTATTATTCAATTTTTACTTTCCAACTGAACCGGTTTTAGCTAGCGGTATATTTCACATTTTTATTTTGAAGAGGTTTTTTGAATCAACGCCACTATGAATAACGAACAAACCTCCGATGAGACCGCACCGGAAACGCAACCGACATTTGGCGACGATTTCGTTCCCGAACCCAAGTCGGAATCTGTAAAAGAACACGGCCATGATGGGCTTTCCGAATGCGAATTTGCAGCTATGACAGAGGCGCCAGCTCCACCTGAGCCGAAACCTATACGCTTGGCGCTTTTGCCACCGGACCATCCGCTCTTGGCAAAGTTCCAGGCAAACTTGAAGGAGTATCTTTTGCGCACGAAGGAGCAGTTGAAGAGTGAGATTGCCGAAATCAAATATCAACTCAAGTTAAAAGAAGCGACACGCGAAGAGCAGGGAGCGAAGCTATACGACTTGCAGCAAGGCATTAAGCGACAAAACGAACAGCTCGATGAATATGGACAAGAGATACAAACAAATATGGAGAAGCGTGTTGAAATGGAGGGTGTCGTTGCCAAACTCAAAGAGGAGTTCGAGGAACGTTTTCAAGTGAATAAGAATCAAAAGCAGAAGTATAATAAACGTATGGTCGAATTGGAGAACTTAAACACTTTAGAGGGACACATACGCAATTGGGCCGATGAGGTGGAGGACGAAGTGAAGAATGCCAAGCGTATCGTTGATCGTGATACCCAGCTGCAAAAGCAACTAAGCGAGGATAAGAAAAAATCTGACATGCTATTCTACCACCTGGATATGGAAGTGAAGAAGAAGGAACATCAGATCGAGATAATGCGCAGTGAGGTGCAAGATATGCGTGAAATAACCGATGCGCTGAAGATGAGCATTAATGATGCAAACACCGACTTGGAGGTGCTACAAACCGAGCACAAACGCTTGACTCTGGCGTGGAGCGAGGTGATTGTGGCCATACAACATCGCGATAAAATACTCTATCAAGCGCAACAAGCAATGGGGTGAGTACGAAATCGTCGAAGCGGTGATGTACTGTTAAGCTTAGCTCTGAGTGCATTGGTGTTCCAAAAAATGTGTTTTTGAACTTTCAGCAAAGAACAAGAGTCCATGAAACTTAACACCAGAAGCATTGAGGCCATCAAAAAGCAAATAGCAAAGGAAACAAAACTAAATGAAAAATTAGAGGTTTTTAAATCACGTCTTCTAGCCGATTGTGGTAATATTAAGCGCGAATGTAAGTAGGAGCTATTTTATTACTTCCGTAGTAGATATCTCTAATCTTTTATTGCTTACCACTTGCAGGTCAAAAGCAATCCGACACGCTTCTTGCTCTACAAACGAAACTCGAAGAACTTCCGCTTTGGTTGGAGCAAAATGAGAAAGATTTAACCGAAGCTAATCGCGAAGGCACTAATTTAGAAACTGAATTACGCAGATTACAATTGAAATGTGATAAAATGAATGCCAGAAAGTATCAGCTGGAGGAGAATATGCTGAAGCTGGCGCAAGAAGGTTTGATTACGGATAAAGCCAGTCAATATCGCTTGAAATTGTTTCGCGAAGCACAGGAAACACGCAGAGCCACCGAATTAAACTTGGCTATAGTGCAAAGCCAACTCTCGGAAATACTGCTGGATATAGAACGTTACCGGGGTATATTGATTCGTTTGAATCAGGAGCAAGAAGAACTGCAAAAGCGTTTGGATATAGCTGAACACAACGCGGAACTAATTTCGGCCGAGACGCGTAACATGGAAACACAAATCGATTTGAAACTAAAGAAGGTCGATCGTTTGTCGAGTCGTGTTGCCTATCTGTCTGGTATTGGCGAAGACGAGGGATTAAATGCAACGCGAAAGAAGGTAAATGTAGAGAAGCTAGTTGGAAAAATGCGGAACAATCAATTCGTATTTCTGTGATAGCTCATATAAAAAAGAGATATTCTTAAGACCACTGATTTGTTGCCTACAGATTAAATTGCTAGAGAAAGCCATATCATCCATGGAACAGCAAATACGTGAATTACAACAATTTTGGCTGATGATGCAGAATCACTATGTTAATTTGTCCGAGAAGCGAAATAATCAGCTAAATGAAATGCAGGTTACCCAAAAACGTAAGTATGTGTACTGTTAAACAAAAAATTAAGAAGAAACGATTCCGACATAAGCCTAACGCTGTAATATTTTGCACTGTTTCTAAATGATGTCAATAAACCAGCGATAGGCACAATTATTTTACTCTGCAAGCGTCTATACAAAATGTATAGAAAGCTTAAAGAGCCTTTCCCGGGGAAAGGTGACCGCCGTCACCGCAACAAACGCATATTCTCTTTCTAACCTAACTCTACAATCGTTTTTTGGTTTTAATCGAGACCAAACAAACTTCACCAATTATCTGTCCTCTGCAAAGTTGCGCCAGCTACTCAATTCATGTGTAGACAGGTCTTTGTGCACTTGTTCCTCCCTTTGTCTCCATGGTTGACTTTGCTTTCGTTGACCACTGAAAGTGCCGAGTGGTATAATCCTTGCACCACAGCATCAACATCCAACCACATGCCCAATCCAGCACAATCGATGAATTTTTTGCGAGTTTGACTATGCCTGGGTCATTATAAAGTCCGTACCTACAGTGCGTCATACTATCTTACACGGTAACCGTCGCGCACGCAAACAGGCTCTTAGATATTACGTAAAATAGTTCTCTCGAAAGTCCCCAAGGCATTCTTAACTTACCACGTCTTCGTTCAAGTTTCTTTTCCATAAAAAGTACGGTCGTGTCGAGAGATTTCATTCGGTTTTTTTTTTTTTGTTTATTAAGAGAACATGTAGTGGTAAGCAGTGCCCGCTTCTATTCCGCAGGGCCTGGGTTCAAGCCCCGGTCAAAGCATCATCGCAAAAAAAAAATTTCTTAACAGCGGTCGCCCCTCGGCAGGCAATGGCAAACCTCCGAGTGTATTTCTGCCATGAAAAACAGCTTCTCATAAAAATACAATCGCCGTTCGGAGTCGGCGTAAAACTGTTGGGCCCGTCTTCTTTGTGTGACAACATCAAGGCGCACGCCACAAATCGGAGAAGAAGCTCGGCCTAACACTAACATATGTGTAAGCGCCATCTATTATTATCAGGGCGCGGTTCGGTTCAGTGGTTCGAACCACTTAGAAAAAGCTTGTACCGATACAAGAACTAGTTCTCGAGTATCCTTGAACCGCGGTTCGGTTCGATTCAAGTTGTTCAATTTGTTTATGCTAAAGTATATTGGCCTTATTCATAAAAAATAAAGTAGGTTTAGAGAGTTTTATAAATTGGAAGTTTTCAAAAATTTTTCAATTTATAAACCTTTTAAAGCTACTTTATTTTTTATGAATAAGGCCAATATACTTTATATATTTTACGAAAATATGACAAATCCATAATATAAAAAATAAAGGCTTTGTTATTGAAATCAAATTTAGATATCCACATGTATAGTGGTGGAAAAAAATAGGGACGCGGCATTTTATCAAGTATTGGCTATTTTTCTTTTCCTTATTTATTGTTTATTTATTTTTTTTAACTATATAAAACCAATTTTCAAACTTTCTGCAAAAATTATGAATATTCTCCATAGTTTCAACTAAATTGCAAACTTTTTAATAAGAATTCCTAGGATTTTTTTTAATCTAAGGGCCAAATTCACTGGCCCTGGGACTGTGCATTCAGTCAATAAAATTAACGTATAGCGATTTTTTTACAATGCGCGAACCTATTTTTTAAATATTTTATTTTTCGCTAATTTTTTATAAAAATATCGTTAATTCTACAACAAAAATCCCGAAAATCAGAGTTCCAAACCTTGTGTAAAATCAAAGAAACTTCTGCAAAATTTCATTCAAATAATGCACTTTTTATTTACGCTCTCTACGTTGAGTATGCAGTTTTTTAGCTCATTCAATTTTAGTATAATAAAGTGCAAGTATGCGGAAGCTAGAACTTACCATTGATTTTTGGGAAATTTTTTTGTTGAAGATGTCGCACATTTTTTCCATATAAAAAAATTATCAAATATTATTTTATACGGAGAAAAAGAGCGACACCTTCAACAAAAAAATTCTAAAAATCAGTGGTAAGTCCTAGCTACCTTAACTTGCACTTTGTTATACTAAAATTGAATGGGCTAAAAAACTGCGTACTCAACTTTTTTCTGAAGAGTGTAAATAAAAAGTGTAACATTTTAATGAAAATTTGCAGAATTCTCTTTACTTTTGTATATGGTTTGGAACTCTAATTTTTTGGGTTTTTGTTGTACAATCAACCACATTTTTATAAAAAGTTAGCAAAAAATAAAATATTTAAAAACATAGTTGCCCGTATTGTAAAAAATTCGCCGTACCTAAACTTTATTGACTGGCTGTATGTTGGACAATTTTTTTCAATGGAAGAAAACAAAAAAAATTATTTAAAATCAACGCGATCAAAATGAAATTAGAAAATTTTTAATAAACTTTTTAAACTTTAAACTTTAGTCGAGTATGTATATTAAAACAGCATACTCAAAATTTCGAATTGACCCTCAAAATCTTAGCTTAATGTTAAAAACCTCATCTTCGGTAGACTGGAGCTGACACTGGCCTTAACTTCATATGTAGATGTATACCTATGGTCAAAATAATATCAGTGCTGCATTTTACTATTTTTCTTTTTTCGGTTTAATGTTCATTAATTTTTTATAAAAGTATAGCTCGTTATATAATAACAAGCATATAAATCCAAATTTCAAACTTTGTACGAAAATTAGAAAGTCTACAAATTTCCAGAAAATTGCATCAAAAATTCAAACTTTTTAATCCAAACTAAAAAAATCCGAGAGTTATGCCCATTTCGTTTGTACCGAAAAATGCAACCTTTTCTTTGTCCTCTACGCATAAACACTAAGAAGGGGGCGATGAGAAGGCAACATTTTTTGTATAAACGAAATCGCCATTAGAAATTTTATATTTAACTGGCATCGTTAAGCATTTTCTTCTATATAAAAAAGTATCAAGCATTCTTTACAGGACGAAATTACAACTCACGGAGTTGCCATCAAACAAAAAAAATGTTTGCAGTTTTACTATACGGGTTTTTAGACCAAGTTGCGTATCACAAAACTTGAAAAATGCTTTACTGGACTTTCATTTTAAACCGAATCGAATCATTTTTTGGAGTGATTTTCGGTTCGGTTTTGGCATTTCAAAATAAAAACGGTTCGGTTCGAAGCCCGTTAACAGGGACAGTTAGGTTCAAGAAACGGTTCGGTTTAAAACCGGGTTGCAGCCCTGATTATTACTATTAAGAGAGCATCTATTTAAATCTATCTCTAAGATGTGTGACTGTACCAACAGTTTATAAGTAAACATCTCATTTAGAGTTATTATTTGTAAATGGATTTCCCCCATCTCCTCGTCTCAGTTAGCCAATACCTCTTTGTAATCACCTGAACTTTCAGCACTGCGAAAGATAGTCGGAAGGCGATGGGACAAGGTCAAACGCACCGTAGTCGAATCGTTAGTTTAATAAGTAGGGACTAAATTTGACGCCCGCCAATAGCGGTTCTTGCTCTGCAGGCAAAGACCAGGCCTCGACTGGGTTTATGCCATCGCAGAAGAGGCTAGACCGAACATTAAAAAAAAAGGTTTGATAATTTTTATAAGCGCACAGTAGCACTAGGGAAATTTAAGCACTAACGGAACCTATATGTTCCTCAGCCTCTCTCGGGCCACCACGGGATACACAGTAGAGTTTACAAAAAAATTTTAGATCTATTAATTTGACGCCCAATAGCGAATGGTCAGGCAAGCCAAAGGGGCCTATGAGCACGAACTGGTTTCCTGACAAAGTAATGGAACTTAGCTTGCCCTCATAGTAATATGCGACTCACTGAGGATACCGATTATAATTATAGGCTTATTTGGGTTGGCTGAGGATACCCCATGTAGTACTAATATATATATGTATGTATGCCGTAAGGGACCACCAAAGTGTACACCCTTCTTATGGAGCTTAGTGGTTGACGATCTTCTATAGAATCGCTAGCTAAAAAAGGGTATCACAGTCAAGAACACACGGACTGAGCGGTAAATCTGAAAACACACTTTGCGACAGTGACCAAAGTCTAGTGTAATTTAATATATTTTAACTCCTCCAAAACGGTTAGAGATAAATAAACTAAAATATCCCGTACTCAACCTAAATAAAAAGCTTTTGCGCAGAAAATAATTAGAAGTGCTTGCGAAGCGATAGAGAAGCCGTCCAAATTAATCAGCTCTAGAATGCTCCCCAACTTTAGCGGTCCTAGAATCAGCAAGCGACTTTATCTAGGGTAGTGGACGAATCCTTGCTATATGATGTTCCTATATGAGCACATTCTCTATAAAACGAGACACATGTCTAGACCTTTATTCGCGGCGACAAAACGGCTTTGTGCAGTGAGAGTCATAATCGCCTTCACGCCAACTTGAACCAACCAATTGAAGTTGGCGAGCTAGCACAATGCACAATTTCTCGAGAGAAAACATGGTGACTATAGGCGATGGATAATCAGATAAATGTATGCACTGATTGCATAACCTATAGGAAGCAATCGCAAGGCTCTTCGTTTAAGATTTCGACATATCTAATTCTTGAGCTTGCACCAATTACATCAGGTAGGGGCGAAAGCATGCGTATTCTATGAAGAGTAAAAATTTTAACGGGGCTATCCCCAAAAAAAATGGAAGTTTTCACTCTAAGTATCCTGAGGTAAAGTCATTCTTAACCTTGGATTGTACAGATAATCACAATTCCATCGCAATCCATCTCGCCTGGAAACCGCACACAAATGTTTCTTAGGGTCAAAATATAGTGGAGCGGCGAGCAAAGAGCATCGAACAAAGCGTCGATTTCAAACGCTTATGTTTCAATGGAAGAATGCATAGTGCAGAGCAAAGCGTACATACACGTTTGTAATTGGAGCTTTGCTCGATGCTAGCTCTTCGCTTTGCTCGCCACTCCACTATGTTTTTACCCTTACAGCCCTATTCGCGTGCAATAACAAAACTTGCCGCTATAACTATTGTCATGCTTATAATCAATTGTCACGTTTAGTTATGCAGAGAGC